CCTTTCGTAGAAAGCAAATGGACTGATCCAGTAGTTTAGAAACGCAGAAAAAATGTTACACGGACATGTCCGTACAAAGAATCGCAAAGAATAAACATGTGTATGCAAAAGAACTGAAGGAATTAAACACATTTTGCATCAGTTATATGATTCTTTCTTCTGCAAACTGTATTTGTTTAAATGCAGGTAACAAATTCCGATGTAAATCAGCTTGCACAATTTCTAGTTCATTAAGAATGATCGCTTAGTTTCGGATCCCTGAAAAATTAATCCTTATACTGCCTGACGCACGTGGCGTCAGGCAATGACGAACTTACGTCAGGCGGCGGGAAAGTCGCATGACCCTTTTTTATTCTTTCATTGTCGATACTGTGTCAGATGTTACATCTATAGGGACAGTGGCAGAGATAGAAGTCGGCCCGTGGCTGGACCCTCCGGAGAAGTATTGTTTTTGTATATATAGTGTAAATAAATACTTGTATAGAACCAGAAAGACTACTGATTCCAAACCTGGGGCCATGGAAGATTCGATCCTCGTGCAGCTGTCACATTTAATGTTTATCATCTTTTTTTAGTCGCACGTTTTAATTCAATAAATTTTTTAAATGCATTTTTAAAGCAATTTTGGATCAATTTGTTTTTAATGTCTTTGATGAACTTGTGATTTATTTTGTGACGATTATGGACATATGTGTCCCTGGAGAAGCTGTGTCGGCTTTAGGCAGTCACCTGCCCGTCAACTATTATATATATATATATATATATATATATATATATATATATATATATATATATATATATATATATATATATATATATATATATATATATATATCATTACATGTCCAGCTTGGTTTTGATTTCAATATACTGTAAACATACAGACAATTTGCTTAATGGGACTTTAACATAACTGTTGTGATATCACATGACCCGGTAGATCATGTGACAAGTAATTATTATAAATTTTTGTTTGTAGTTCGGAACAAGTGCTTAAAACAATTGTTATTTACATTAATATTTTGTTTCAGAAATAAACTTAATATTATATCTTAATGAACCTGAACAGTACGATCCATAGTATTTTTTTTTTTTATTCACATCTCTTTTACATTATTGTACATTGAAGTTAATACAACATGATGTGTTTTTTAAAGAATAAATAGAGAGATAAAGGAAAGAGAGAAAAGAGAGAGAGAGAGTTAAGAAAAAAGCTGCTTCCATCTGTTCCACTGGGCATCAAACTTTTCCTTTCCACCATTTTTATACGAAATAAACTTGTGTGTTTCATAATAAAGATTCATTTGTGATATTGCAGCACATAAATTCAAAGGTTTCTCAGTACATCTTGCTGTATAAATATAATACTTAAGCCAAAGGATAATAGTATTTTGAATATCAGCATAATTCTCTATATAACCTAAAATAAAGGATTTTTTCATAATATTTATCACTACACCAGTCTTATCTTCAAGAAACATTACAAATTCTTCTAGAAATAATTGTATGTAATCACATTCCCATAAAAGGTGTTCTATTGTTTCTTCTTCTGAGTGACAAAAATTGCAGAATTTAGAGTCATTTCTTTTAATTTTAAACAAAAATGAATTTGTTGCTAAAATTCTGTTTGTAATTCTATACTGAAACCATAGTATTATTAGTGTACGAATTTCTCTAAGCCTGGAAAACCAACTGGACTTGGGGCAAAGATCCCTTACTTTCGGAGGAGAAATGATAAGAATGAGCATCATGAGGTCTGTTGAGATTCCTAAGAGAGTGACATTGACAGGCAGGAAGCACAGTGTTTGAGAAGGATTGCATAAACTGTGTCTCGTTTGGTGAGCGAAATTGGTAGAATGGCGCCTTTAGTCCATCCAAGGAGTAGGACGTATATGTCAGACCTGAAGTAGTAAAGTCTGTCTAGGAATCTGTGGTTGTCAGTAAGGATTTGTTGTACTCTAATACCCTGGAGTCGCCCAACCTTCTGTTACCGACAGAAGGTTGTCATGTTTCTCGGGGATTAAGTACTGATCCCCAGAAATAGTTTTGATGAGGACAGGGTCCTTAGTAAAAAAGTGGGGGGGGGGGGGGGGCAGAAGAAAGAAGAGGTCTCTGGATGTCCTTTAGGAGCTGATCAAGAAGGAATTTCGCCTCTACAGGTTAAAGTGGAGGCTAGGGCGGCACCGGAAAATGCACTGGCCCTCCCATGACTTCGCTAAAACAGCAGATGTTGAGTCTGATGTCACTGTTCCTAAGTAGTGAGTGGGCCTTTATTGCTACCTTGGGCCATTCTGTGAGTGCAGAACTGAAAATGTAAGGTAGTTGTTTGAAAATTATCCCGGATGCACCGCCTGGTATTAGACTTGTAATTGGGAGTAATTCCAGACATGTGTACTTAGGACTAATCTTGAGGAGGGTTTTGCAGGATGACATGACCATCACTTGAGTTTACCTTGATCTTATTTATGATTAACCTCTTTGTTAAAAGTGATTCAAATTTACAAAATCATACCTTATCTTTTAAGAGACTTTCACAAAACTAGTCAAACTTGCATATGCTGGTTGAATTGTTAATAAAAATATAGAGAGTGATGTAGAATTGAAAATAAATTGATTTTTTGGGGTACTTTTTTTGGTGATCTTTGAGCTAACCTGATCGAGCCGAAGGACTTTGTCCATTGTATGTTGTCGACGTGCATGTCATAAACTTTTTTACAATAATTATTTCATCTTCTTCAGAACCACTGGGCTAATTTCAACCAAACTTGGCACAAAGTATTGGTTGAGTGGGATTCAATTTTTTTTTCAAATGAAGGGTCACATCCTCTTGCAAGAGGTAATAATGTAATTTAAAAAATAATAAATAATAGTAGCTGGGGTCATTCAAAATCTTCTCGGGAACCACTTGGCCAGAAAAGATGAAACTTTTGTGAAAGCATTTTGATATAGTCTAGATTTAAGTTTGTTCGAATCATGACCCCTGGGAAAAGGATAGAGTCAACATGGGATATAAATCAAAATTTTACTTTAGAAAAAGACGGGTAAATCTTTCAAAAATGTCTTCTAGGATCAGCACAGTCATGATTACTCATTTTTATATGGAAGCATCTTTAGGTAATGTAGATTAAAGTTTGTTCAAATCATGACCCGCGGGGGTAGGGAGGGCGATCAAAGGGGTTTGTAGTACGTGAATTTACGGAATCAAGAGCATGTAAATATAAGGAATAACTGTCAGATTTTTTGGTTTCATGATGATGACCGTTCAGTTGGTTTGCGTGATAATCTAATGCATAAACGCCTTATCACGCAAGTCAATTAGTCAATTCCTTGATCACATCATTAACCCAATCATGAAACGAAAAACATTAGACAGTTATTCCTTAATTTAATACATTTAAAATATATTTACATATATCTGTAAGAAATATTTGCAAATTCATATGCGACAGTTACGTGTATTTCTGTAAACAAAATCAAAGTACGCATATACAAACAAGAAGAATTATTCAACGAAAAATTAAGGCGTATTTAAGAATAAATAAGAATAATTTATTGCAAGCATGTGGTCGTTAGTTTCACACAAATTTAATCGATTTGTTTATTTCCTATGATGAGCTAGCTTCGTTTCCGCATATTTGTTCATTAGAAAATAAAAAATGAACGGCTTATTATTCTGCCAGAATTGGCTAAAAATAGATCTTACGATTATAGAGCAAGGCCTAGCCCCATATTTTAAGTTGGTGGAGGAGCTTGGTCATGATTATTTTCACCGACGTGCCGATTTAATATTCGTTAGATTCTTTATGTAACAGAAAACAATTTCACTAGTTTAACAGTTTTATTCTATTAACGTTCACGTGCAAATCACGCGAGTGAACACATTTTACATTTTAGTTCACCTGAGCTAACGGCTCAATTGAGATATTCTGGTCTCAGAATTTATGGTTGTTGTCTATCTACATGTATCTGCCTTCTGTTGTCGAAAAAAAAAAAAATCTAAAATAGGGTATCAAAGTTTCATTTTGGAATATATAGGGAAAATATCTGCCTTTCACAAGCAACTAGGAAAATATTAGTCATAATTATATGCGGACATACCCAGGAAGATTAGTGCATATTCAAGTTTCTTTAAAACAATCACAATTTGGATTTTTTTTAAAAAATTATGCATGGACTCTGGGTTAAGGATGAAGATAAAATCTTTAATCAAATTTTGCCTTAATCCACTCATAACAAGTTTCTGATTTTTTTCATTTGCAACACTAAGTATCAGCGATCTTTCTCTGAATTTCGGCAGATATATATATGATCCTATTTTCTTTAAAAAAAAAAAAAAAAAACATCAGGTTGTGTATATAGTAACATGCGCGGATCCAGAGGGAGGGCCCCCCCCCCCCCCCGGAATTTGCTGAGTTATTAAAAGTATAATTTATACTGAAGCAAATAAAAAATGACCCCCCCCCCCTTTTGGAAAACGTGGATCCCACCACGCAATCTCTCACCAGAGGGCGTATTACTACAACAAATATTAGGCGTAAGTATAAGTGGAGCGTGTCGGGAACGATAACTCTGGATCGAGATTGACCATCACCATCACCAGATTTTTTTTTCTCACTTTTTTCGTTTGCTTGTCAAGAAATTTTTTAGGTTTGATAACTTTTGGAAAGGATTTTTTTAAGAAAAAATCCCTTGACCCGCGCCTGAATAATGTAGGATTTGACATACTATTGCCTGTTGGCGGATCTAACGACACAAGAGCCATCTTGGAATGAGGTAAACGAGGTAAAAGAAGTAAACCAAAGGCATATAACTAAACTATGGCTGTTGTGTGTTTCGGAAAATGATTTGTTTGAAATCGCCGTTAAATGATCCCAATTTTACCTTCCTTATGGGTAAATATATGCTTTCTTCCATTGCAACAGAGACATTTTCTAAAACATCAACCTAACTTTACACTCAACCGACTCGGTCATAATGGGGAACTCTTCAGAATGTGGGAAATTAAACCAGCAGACCATGACCGTCGCTAAAAAAGAGGAAAAAATGATGGGGAAAATTTTAAACAACAATTGTACGACTCCAACATAGTCACCGCTTTTTTTTTTTAAACTTGAATTTGGGGTTATGTTGTACAGTTGTACTTGATCTCAAAAGAGAGACATTATACGCTTTTCTTTGAAATCATAAGTCATTATGCGTACTTTCTCTTTAGGTATTCTGTTCATTTTGAAATAAGTGGAGTGTCCGTTTTACACATGGATTCTTTGCTTTTGTAAATGTCGTCAATAGCACTGACAAACTAAAAAATAATAGGACAAGAATGAAGTTAGATTTATTTGCACTTTGTTGCAGCTGTGTTGTAGTTTTGTTGGAAGACGTTGAAAAATAGGCCCACATTTAGGAATATAGTAAAGGCATTTTGATTGCATACAGAAACTGACCTAATCAACCCTACCAGGCCCTGAGATCATAGACTTAGAACAGACAAGTCAATTTTTTTATTTTTGATATATTGTTTTATTCGATACATTACTTAACAAGAAAATTTGCAAGTTTGTTTAACATTTAAATTCAATCATATGATGAAAATTTGGTTTCATTATTGAAATTATTTCAAAAGTTATATTGGTTTGAAATTTTGACTTAAGTCTGTTCTAAGTTTATGGCTTAGGAGCCTGGACATTTCTTTATGACTTTAGATTTTCATAATTTGTTTCAGATTGTGAATAAAAGTAACTCTTTTTTGGTGATCAGATTAAGGATTTACAATCATTTATTTCACCAAAAAAGACCCTTTACCATGCTTGTCAACCTTGAGCACTCTGGGTTAGAATACATGAAACATAGATATTTTTAGTGGTGGCCTAAGTTAGAACATTCACAAATGGTATATCAAAAAAGGTCAATCAAAGTTTATTCTTGCAGACATTGCAGTGCCATTAAAAGCCTTGATGATCAATCTCCTGATATTGAAGGTATGTTTACATTTTGTCACATTTCATTTAATCTGTCTTTTATGTGCAATGACATTAACAACATGCCTTTACTGAAATGTGATATGCTGGCCATGGTTTTTATAAATATGAAATTTGATGTAACGATTTCTTTTATTAACTAACACAGAATTGGCATCCAATCAGTTAACAAACACTACCTTAATGATCTGATAATTCAACCAAGACAATCTTCAAAACAGTATATGTGTATATAAATACAACTGACAATGTCTTATACTTGTCAAATTGACAAATTGTACTTTACAACTCAAATTTCAGTGCTATAAATTTATCGAGGTATATATATATAGAGAGAGAGAGAGAGAGAGAGAGATATCTGTTGGCATTTAAATTCATTTCACAAAACCCAGTTCTGTATTTTTGTGATATTGGTAGTCTAGCTGGCATGTCTAGGAAAATTTTACTGACTTATTAAACACGTTTTTTATTCATCACATGTTTATCATGTTCATTATGACTGACTATTGGTATGTAGCTTTTGAACTAGATATATATATAATTTTATATATATTGTCCCACTCATTTAAGTAGCATAGTTTTATTGAGTACAGCATTCATGATAATACAGTCAAAACTCATTATCTCAAACTCGATGGGACTGAGAAATAAAAAACTTGCAGATCTATATCTGAGGATTCAAGATATCGGTGGTGAAAGACTTACAAAGCACATTGACATATCTATTGGTGTTCGAGATACCGAAGTTCAACTGTACTTGTTTTCTATCTCTGTAAGTTATCCAATTGGTTTGATTTATTTTTAGCTCACCTCAACGAAGTTGGGGGAGCTTATATAATACCCTCGGCGTTGGCGTCCAGGTTAAAGTTTTGTTGAGCAGATTTCTTTTCAAGTACTTCTATGCCCTATCTTAATCAAGAGATGCATGGAGGTTGCTTTTAGTATGTTTCATTGTACCAGTCTAAGGTTTTGGATGCTGTAATTTCACTTGAAGAATGACCAGGTTAAAGTTTTTGGAGCAGGTCTCATTTCCAAGTAACTATTAGCCGTATACTGACCAAACTTGCATGGATAATGCATCTAAGGATGCACACTACCACACTTGCTCTGGATGCTGGATCTGACCTACATTTTCCGGATGAGTGACCAGGTTAAAGTTTTTGGAGCATGTCTCATTTCCAAGCAACTATAAGTAATATATTGACCAAACTTGAATGGATGATACATCAAAAGATGCACACTAGCAGGCTTGCTTCGGATGCTGTATATGACTGACATTTTCCAGATGAGTGACCAGGTTAAAGTAAACTATAAGGGCTATCAGAATCAAACTTGCATGGATGATGCATCACTGGATGAACACCCTCAAACTTGCTTTAGGTGCTGGATATGACATATTTTCTGGATGAGTGACTAGTTTAAAGTTTTTAGGTAAGTCCATTCCCAAGTAATTGCAAGCCCTATTGGACCAAAATAGCATAAATGTTATATCTAGTGATGCACAATACTAGATTATTAGTTTTAGTGTGGGACTTTGCCATACTTAAAGACAACATTGGTTGAGGTGAGCTCTGTAGTCTCTGATTACCTGTGTTTATCATTTTACGTAATATGCATATATAAACTTGTGGAATTCAAAACATATATCAAACAATGAATTGCATCAAAGCTATTTCTAAACTGGAAAAAATGTGTGGCTATGAATATTTTTTATTCAAGACTTCTTTGGAGAACACTTTATTTTATTATCGTCAGGTATAGTTATGCCATAAAAATCCTTCATATTGAATTACAGTGTACTTACATATAAGAATGATTAAGGGATACTTGCAGTATACATTTCATATATGCATGTAAACCTAATATCCTTTTGAAGGTCATTGAAATCCTCAAAGCATATTAAATATCTTAAATTGAAACTTTGCCAAGGGTGATTCTAAAGCGGATGACACCATTACTAATATAAGTATTCATGATCAACACTTAATACCAAGAAGGGTTTAAATTACGTACACCTCTCCATAAAGATCTTGTTATGAGTATATTATTGTAGTAAGACCTTATTCAACAAACTCGACGTTCAAGGAGTGTACTGAAACATTTTAAGATTTAAATGTAGCATAAAACATTACATTGGTGTATATCTTGATGATTTTTTAAGCTTATAGCTGTCATTCTGTTTTGAAATTTGAAACCTAAATTCATTCTAGATATATGGTATGCTAGCTTAGATATCTGTCTAGTATTCATTTTTCTGTTCATACAAATTAACAGAAAAAAAAATGGTGAAAGATTTCCACTTACAGGGTATGTTTTCTTCAGATTTACATGAAAAAGTATTTCCTGTCATTTTCCCCACTCCCAGCACCATGATTTTATTGATTAAAACTGCTGCACATTTACACATAAGCCTTGTTGCAACATACATACACATACAATGTGTTATCAAAATTGTATTTAGGAAAAGCATGTGTACAGATTTCAAGTGTTAATTGCTTGTATCATTTTTGACAATAATTCATCAAGATGTTATTAAGATATAACCAATATATAATGCCTAAAAAAGTTTAGGTTATCCATAGGTCATTTTAATAATAAATCTTATAATAAACAATGAAATTTATTTTTATCTAACAAAGTCAATAAATTCTTCTTCTTTTTTTTCATTAACAGGAAGTGAAATGTAACGCTGATGCATGTCCTGTGTCAAGACAAACTATGGATATTGTTTCAAACTGTCCAACCAGTGAATCAGAATGGAGAACAGCTTCTCAAAGAAAAAACTGTTCAGCTTTTGCCAGCCAATGTAGTGATCCTGATAAATTTGTGTACCACTGTGTCATTAATCCATTTGTGAATCAGACACTTGAAGTTTGTGCCTATGGAAAGTACATTGTTTTAGGTCTGTGGAATATGTTTTAAAGAATTTCCTTATCTAGTTACAAGATGTGAATAATGCAACATGTGCAAATCAACAAACATGGAATCAATTCAAAGTCATGTTCAAGGACATCTCATTATTAGGGTTAATTTTAGATTATAGGTAGAAGTTATAGATTTAGTATATACAGCTTCCTTTTGAGAGTTTTAGGAAAGTACACGTGCATAAGTACCAGAAGTGAAAGCTTAATGTACATCTAGGGCAATCGCACTAGGCCATTTAAGTATTGGAAGGATAGGTAATGTAGACCACAGTACAATGCTTGTATTGTTAATAAACTGTTGAACATGTTGAAGTGGAGATCTTAAAAAAGGAAAAGTAAACATTTTGAGAACTTTCTCAAGTGCATATTTACCAAGTAGATATTGGACAGGTTGTCTTGAGTGCAATTTCTCAAGGTCTTAAACATTTATAGAAAATCAATTTTTAGTTAGCATGGGCTTAAGATTTGTTGATTGAAGTGTTTCAGTGAGTACCTTCATGTCCATTAATTTAATGCTGTAACAGTTGTACGTGTCTCTCAGTTAAAAAAAAAAAATATTAAATCTCATTTAATTAATGTGCAGAGTTTTAAAATATGAAGTCATTAAACTCTATACTAAGCTCTGTGCCCAATATTTGTATTGCTCCTGGACCAATGGACTTTGAGAATGATTGCTATTTGTTATCTTCACATTTCATACACACTACAAATGATATCATTTGATTTTGACTTGGACTATAATGATATACAATAAGTCACCTCATTGATATTAATCTTGATTCCTTATTTTTTTTAAATGTACATGTTTGAATACACACACACGTCAGAATAAGGACTATTAGAAACATATTAAGAGTGCACTGGTATTAGAGATTCAAATATTCATGTAATTGATGTGTTTGGTGTTTGGTGTGAAAGGGGGGGGGGGGAGGGAGGGAGGAGATAAGGTAAGGATCACAATGTCTGCCCTTAGATATTTATTGTCTGGAGATTATCTCTGGCAATTTGTAATATTTTGCTTTCAAACTTGGAAAGCTTAGTCACAAAAAGGGGACATCATAACATTTTATGTGTTGTATGTGTGTGAGAGAGAGAGGGGGGTGGGGGAGGGGAGAGACTCAAAGCTGTGTGTCTCAATTGTGCTTAATTTTTTTTAAATATATTTATTTACCTTTTAGTAATAAAAAGAATTTGCCGTAAACTAATTTTTTTTTATAAACTTTTTAAAAGATGATTTTAATTTGTACCTTATCTTTAGTTTCATAAAGCAACATATTATCTGATATTGAGAAACATTGTACAGGTATATTGCTAGTTAGACTTGCACCTAATGTTGACAAGTTTTGCAGGTTATTGTGCGGAGTACAGCTACAGTGGCAACATAATCCAGCAAAATTATGACACAGATTGTTCTAAATTTACCAACAGTCGTCCATGTCCCAGTGGGTATCATTCTACAGAGGCATTTAAATGTAAGTGTAAAGTAATATGCACAATATACAGTGCACACTTTTACAGAATAACTATTATACTTTATTCTTAAAACTTCTACATAAGAAAGGGTGTCTTTTCCACCCTGTAAGCACATGTGAGTCAGAATTGATGTAATTTATAAGTACTCAGTACTTTAACTGTACTTGGTGGCAAACCACGCAGGGATCATAACACTGTAGAAATACATGTATTTCTTACCTATGACATGTATGATGTATATCATGTATAGTCATATCATAGACATGGATGGATGCTGAAAATGATGAAAATATGGGAAACTGCAAACACTATGCTATGAATTATAATTCCATTACCTGCATGATCAGTATTAAGTGCAACTTCCTGGTGATGGATACAAGGTCATTAAATATCATCATTATCAGTCAGTCTGATAAAACTGACATACAGAAGTGTATATAAATGTTAGATTAGTAAATAGATAATAAACAAAGATTATGAATTAAGTAAACAATAATCATTTTCTTATGTTGCAGACCCTGGTTGCTATCAGCTGACAAAGAAATCAACAGTTCAGAATCCAACTACAGCACCCTCTGTCCATACTTCTGACACAAACATGCTTGTATCAACTCAAAATACATCCATAATTGAAGAGTGAGTTGAGTAGTTTCACTTTTTCACTTGTTCCATGTTCTTTTAGCTTTGAGGAAGTTTGGTGTAATTGCTGTCATTATATGTAGTCATTCATTATAATAGCCTAATTTGGTACAAATGTATTTTATTTCATTAATGATATTTTGGTGATCTGAATGGTTATTAGCATTATAATTCTTATAGCTTTCAATTCTCAAGCAATTGAGAATTAGGCAAAGATCAAGGTCAAACTAACAAAGTGCCTAATTAGGAGATATTTATATGGATGAAAAGGCCTTTAAGATCAACATGCATAGAGAAGAAAGATTAAGATTGAAGGATTAGGTTACTTAAGTCAGCAAAAGTAAAAAGTGGGGTGGATTTTGCTATTCCTATCTTGATGTGGAAGTAAAATTTCTTTGTGAGGTCTGATTGTCTGAGTTAGTTAAAGTTTCTGGTTGCAATATTTTGTTAATCAAAGTGTATTGATTTATATATCTGTTTTTTTCTGTATTGTACTTCTGTTTATTCTTTTTCAAAATGCAAGTGACAAAATGAACAATAATGCGGCTATTCCTAATACACTGTCTGCACACTTACCTTTTTCATTCTTTCATATTGGGAAGCTAGTGATAAATTCTCTAGTAGGCAAAGAGAGATAACTCTTTAAAATCACTCTGGTTCATTTTAGAAGTTTCATCATCTTCTGTTTGGTAGCCAAAATTGTTCTTGATAATTATCAACAGAGAAAATTTGTCTGCAGACAAGTTAGTTTATCAATTTCATTATGCTGAAATAACATTTAAAAGAAAAGAAAATTATTTATTTATGGCTATTTGAACCTTCAGGTGCTTATTTCAGCATCTCATGCAATTAAGAATTGATTGTCAAAAACATCAATCATTAACCTCAAATGATAATTATGATTATTTAGTGATGAGGAAAAAAAATGTGTATGCTCTGTTTGAGAAAGAGTACCATATGATTTTACTTGCTATTTTGTTTCAATATATATAGGCCAGGTATGGAACATGTTAATGATGACTGGGGATATGTCATTGGTGTCATCATTGCAGCCATTCTGGTCATTTTGATTGGAATTGCTGTGGTAATTTTTGTACTTAGACGACATCGACCAAGATCTAAAGAACATCTTCATGAAAAAGGTAAATATACTATTTGTATTATTTTTCTTAATCAATTAATCATATACTAATTATTCAATAAATTATTTAGACCCAAGTAGTAACCGTTAATTAAGATTTGTTAAATTTTAGATTTAGTGCATCCCCCCTCACCCCCACCCCCTCTTTCCCCCCAGTGTTATCCCTTTATTTCAAAGTAAAGGGTTATATATATCAATTGTAACAGGCTTTAAAATTTTTGATTTCCAAGCAGCAATTTTATTTAGTTTAATATAGTTTAGACCCAAGTAGTAACCATTAATTAAGATTTGTTAAATTTTAGATTTAGTGCATCCCCCCCCCCCCCCCCCCCCCCACACACCTCACCCCCACCCCTCTTTCCCCTGAGTGTTATCCCTTTATTTCAAATTAAAGGGTTATCTATATCAATTGTAACAGGCTTTAAAATTTTTGATTTCTAAGCAGCAATTTTATCAGTTGAAGTGGTCAATTTGGTCGGGGTCCAACTCTTAGGGAAAACACTGCTCCCCTGCTAAAGTTACATGTATTTTACTTAATGACCAATAGACATTAGATTCCCTCTCCCCTTTCTCCATTAAACTTTAATGCTTCTAGTTATAATTCATTTGGTATCAACCATCATTGTATCAGCATATATTTTAGTGAACTTCTTTAAATTCCAGTCATGCACATGGTGGGCTAATATGTTTCTAAAACATAAATTACACCAAGTAGTGTGCCTTTAAGGCAGTGAAAATGTATATGATCTTTTTCTTGATATTCATTCTAATAAAGCTGTAATTTTGAGAGTTTATAATTTACTCATACAATTTCAATCCTGCTAGAATTTCTCACACATTTTAAAAATATTTTGAATACAGTAATGGAGAATGGTCAACTCATGATGGAAAATGAAGATGCAGGTAAATATTGTAATGCTTCATTAAATATTTAGGATGGATATTTCCTTTTTAGCTCATCTGAGCCAAAGGCTCAAGTACATGAAAATGAATTACATGTACATAAGAAAAACTTATGCTTATAATCCTTATAAAGAAGCAAAATCACCCATCCCTGGCACTTCATTAGAAGTGTGTTTTACTGTTACAGTAGTACTCATAAATCTTTTTAAAATCTGATAAAGAACAGCAGAACCAAGGGGACTCAGGTGAGTGTTATGATCCTGAACTCTCTGTTAAATATTTCAAAATATATTTAGGTCACCTGAGTCACTCAGGTGACCTATTGCTATCTGTTTTTGTCTGTCGTCGTTCGTCGTTCGTCGTACGTCGTTCGTCGTCAATCGGTCGTAAACTTTTGAACATTTTTAGCTTCTTCTCTGGAACCACTGAACCAATTTCAACCAATTTTGGCATATAGCATCTATGGGTGAAGGGGAACAAAAATTATGAATTTCATGGTCCCTGCCCCCCTGGGGCCTGAGGGGTGGGGCTAAAACCACCAAAAATAATGCAATCTTTAAAAATCTTCTTCTTTACTCCTGGACATCAAGCAGTCAAACTGTTGGCATCATTGTAATAAGCATGGAGCCCTCTATCAAAATTGTGAAATTCATGGCCCCAGGGTCAGGGGTTCTGGCCCCAGGGTGGGGCTATATAGATCATATAGTGAAAGTGCATTATTTCTTTGAAAATCTTCTTCTCTGCTCCTGGGTATTAAATAAAGTTACTAAGTACATAGTTATGATGAGCAAGAGTGCCTCTTCCAAAATTGTGAAATTCATGGCCCCAGGGTCAGGGGTTCTGGTGTTAGGGCGGGGCTCTATTGATTATATATAGTGAAAATGCATTATTTCTATGAAAATCTTCTTCTCTGCTCCTGGGTATTAAATAAAGGAACTAAGTACATAGTTATGATGAACAAGAGTGCCTCTTCCAAAATTGTGAAATTCATGGCCCCAGGGTCAGGGGTTCTGGTGTTAGGGCGGGGCTCTATTGATTATATATAGTGAAAATGCATTATTTCTTTGAAAATCTTCTTCTCTGCTCCTGGGTATTAAATAAAGGAACTAAGTACATAGTTATGATGAGCAAGAGTGCCTCTTCCAAAATTGTGAAATTCATGGCCCCAGGGTCAGGGGTTCTGGTGTTAGGGTGGGGCTCTATAGATTATATAGTGAAAAAGCATTAATTCTTTGAAAATCTTCTTCTTTGCTCCTGGGTATTAAATAAAGTAACTAAGTACATAGTTATGATGAGCAAAAGTGCCTTTTCAAAAATTGTGAATTTCATGGCCCCAGGGTCAGGGGTTCTGGTGTTAGGGCAGGGCTCTATAGATTATATAGTGAAAATTCATTAATTCTTTGAAAATCTTCTTCTCTGCTACTGGATATTAAATAAAGTAACTAAGTACATAGTTATGATGAGCAAGAGTACCTCTTCCATAATTGTGAATTTCATGGCCCCAGGGTCAGGGGTTCTGGTGTTAGGGCGGGGCTCTATCGACTATATGGTGAAAATGCATTAATTCTTTGAAAATCTTCTCCTCTGCTCCTGCGCATTAAGGTGATAAACTAAGTACATAGTTATGATGAGGAGGTGGGCCTCTTCCAGAATTGTGAAAGCCATGGCCCCTGGGACAGGGGTTCTGGTGTTAGGGCGGGGCTCTATTGATTATATAGTGAAAATGCTTTAATTCTTTGAAAATCTTCTTCTCTGCTCCTGGGTATTATTTAAACAAACTAAGTACATGGTTATGATGCATAAGGATGCCTTTTCAAAAATTGTGAATTTCTTGGCCCCTTGGTTAGGGGTTCTGGTGTTAGGGCGGGGCTCTATTGATTATATAGTGAAAATGCATTGATTCTTTGAAAATCTTCTTCTCTGCTACTGGAGATTATATAAACAAACTAAGTGCATGATTATGATAGGCAAGGATGCCTCTTCCAAAATTTTTAAATATATGGCCTCAGTTTTTGGGGTTCTTGAGGAGGGGGGGGGGGGGGCTCTATTGATTATATAGTGAAAAAGCATTAATTCTATTAATCATTAATTAATCCTGTCTGCTCCTTTGTGTTGAGCTGATAAATAAATTGCTTAGCTATGATGAAAATGGGAGCTTTGAACAGAATTTTTAAATCTTGTGGTCCTAGGGTCAGGGGTTCTGGCATAACGAAGGGGGGGGGGGGGGGCTTTTGATAATATAGTGGAAAAGTGTTAATTCTTTGAAGTCCATAGTTATGATGATGAGGGTAACTCTTCCAAATTTGTAAATTTCTTGACCCTTGGTATTGGGTTCTGGTGTTAGGGTAAGGCTTTGTTGAATCTGTAGTGAAAATGCATTGTACCTGTGAAATTCTTCTCTGCTTCTGGACATATTGGAAGCAAACTGAGTAAAAGTTTAAATGATATGAGTAAGCGTATTTCTACCAGATTTTTAAACATCTGGACCATTGGTCTAAGCATTCTGGTCCTGGGCAGGGCTCTATTAATTTGTATTCTACTGAGAGAAGTTATTCCCCTTTTCCATTCACCTTTGATAATTAATCACTGTAAATAATGTATTTGAAAGGTTAATAGAATAAGATAATTATGCAAGAATGTTTATTGTATAATTAAAAAAGTACTTTCTTAGTTTTAATAAACAGGTAGACTTGTAAGTTATAGATAAATAAAAATGAGACAAAAATAACTTATCTTATTAAAAGTTCTTCAAAGACCATAAGAGAGGTCAATGCTAGAGGTCTTAGTATGGGTTATAAATAGTACAGAAGCACTAATAGTTTGTTAATAGTCTGCATAGTGTTAAGTGGGGGACAGATTAGAACTTAATTTATGAGTTGATACTGAATACTAGACTAATTATTTTGTTGATCCTGATCTTCCTACTTCTCTTGCTTTAGGGCAACAAAGCTTCAACTATCAGTGTATTTAACTTCTAAATTGTTGTATTATACTCAGGTGACCGTTAAGGCCCTTGGGCCTCTTGTTTGATAATACCATCTATTGGAAGACTTTGAAAATATTTATGATATATTTTAAACTTTGAACAGAAACTGGAGGAAAGAATACACAACCAGTGGATGGGAATGAACATTCTGCAGGTGAGGAATAGGCTTTATGAGTGATAGCTCACTGCGATAGCATTTTTAGCTCCTTTGAGCCAAAGACTCAAAAGAGTTAATATGCTATAGACATCTGTGTGGTTGATCAACTTTTTAGCTCACCTGAGCCGAAGGCTCAAGTGAGCTTTTCTGATCACATTTTGTCTGTAGTCCGTCTGTCCGTCCGTCCGTCTGTCTGTCCGTCTGTCCGTCTGTAAACTTTTCACATTTTCGACTTCTTCTCAAGAACCACTGGGCCAATTTCAACCAAACTTGCCACAAAGTATCCTTGGGTAAAGGAGATTCAAGTTTGTTCAAATGAAGGGCCACGCCTTCTTCCAAGGGGAGATAATTGAGAATTTGTGAAAAATTAATGGCATCATTAAAAAATCTTCTTCTCAAGAACCACTGTGCTTGAAAACATGAAACTTATGTGGAAGCATCCTCAGGTAGTGTAGATTCAAGTTTGTTCAAATCATGACCCCCGGGGGTAGGGTGGGGCCGCAATGGGCGATCAAAGTTTTACATAGGAAATATACAGGAAAAATCTTTAAAAATCTTCTTCTCAAGAACAGCAAAGCCATGATTGGTCATATTTAAATGGAAGCATCCTCAGATAATGTAGATTCAAATTTGTTCAATTCATGACACCCCCCCCCCCCCCCCCCCCAACCACTTTTATATTTAAACTTTTCAACCTTTCAAGATTGAAGTGATTTCTGCTTTTTCCTAGCCATAGTGCTCAGGTGAGCGATGTGGCCCCTGGGCCTCTTGTTGGGATATGGACCATTTCTCAAGAACACTTTTGCCAATTTTTGGCAAGTTTGTCATAGAGTATCCTTTGCCCAAGGGCTTTCATTTATACTAAAAATAGGGATATGGCAATTAAACAAGGGGGGATAATTAGGGAAATAAGAACAACTGTTGGTTTCTAAAATATTTTCTTCTCAAGAACCACTGGGCATATTATCACCAAACAGAAACACAACAATGAGGCTATGTTGTAGATTAAAAATTGTTCAAAACGTCGTACTGGCGCAAAGGGCATTTTCTGAAGGTCACTTCAAAATAGACCTAAAATTATGTTCTGTTGAAACTAATTTTTGCTCACTGTAAAGAATAAGATAATCAAATATTGTCAGTTGATGCATCTTAGGATATCATGCTATGTAGACTTGAAGTAGGTGATGATGAACTACTTTTTAAATTTTGCATATATTCATTTTCAAATTGATTTTAATGCATATTTTGGACACTTTGAAGTCTTTTTATCAAATCCAGTCAGGTAATGCATCATGGGGCCATATGTGTCAACTAAAAGAGAGGTCACAATGACCTACTTCTGGAACTTTATGGGTGATCATTTTCTAAACATTTTAGTTCATTATTTCTGATATTGTGAGGTTTACAATTATCAAACCTTGGATGTTGATACATCTTGGGGTCATGTAAGAAATTTATGAACAGTAGGTCACAGTGACCTACTTTCAGAATTTTGCAGGTATTCATTTTCAAATTGCTTTAGATGAAGATTTTGGACACTGTGGATCATTGGATCATCAAACCTTATTAGCTGATGCATTCTAAGGCCTAATAGTACGTATATCAACAAAAGTTGGTCACTGTGACCTACTTTTGGAATTTTATGACTATATTTAAATATTTAAGATACTAAGTTGCTTAGAATCATTAGTTGATGCATTTTGGGTCTTCGAAGTGTGTCATCCATAAAGTAGGTCACCATGACCTACCTTTAGAATGTCAAAGCTATGTATCTAAATATTTTGAATAATAGTAGGCTTAGAATCCACAAACTTTGTCAGTTGATGCATCTTGCCTTCTCAGAGTTTGTTAACCAAAAAGTAGGTCATGGTGACCTACTTTTGGATTTCCACAGCTATATCTAAATATTTAGGGTAATAAAAGAATCATCAAATGTTGGATTTTAAGAGAGTGTTAACCAAAACATTGGTCAATTTTTACCTACTTTTAGAATTTCAAAGCTATATATATAAATATTTCGAATAATAAGGGGCTTAGAATCGATTAAGTTTGTCAGTTGATGTATCTTGAGTTCTCAGAGTTTGTTAGCCAAAAAGTACATGGAGGTTATGATGACCCACTTTTGGATTTTTACAGCTATATTTAAATATTTAGGATAATAAAAAAAAACATCAAATGTTTGATTTTCAGTGTGTTAAGCAAATTGTTGGTCAAGTTTGACCTATTTTTTTGAATATTTATTCCCCTTACATGAAATGTCCATGGCATATAGTGTTACCTCTTTCTTTCTGTTATTCCCCACTCTCATTGCTGCATAATTAGTTTCTGGACTTTTTCTGCTGTGCTAATAGTTAATGATATGAGTTTCGGTTCATATCTTGACATTTCATTGTTTTCTTACATGTACATATACAGGTCACGTTTGAGTTTTGTGCTGATTGACCCATTTTTATGAAAGTTATTGCCCTTAGACCTTGAAAACTACTACTACTTCACAGTTCTTCAGACTTATATAAAATGAGCAGATTTTTGGTTGTGCCCCTGCTATGAAATGGCCAAGGCATACATGTATAGTGTTACGGATGAAAGACTAGTATAATATTTTTGGAGCAGGTCCATTCTAAATTAACTATTTGCCATACCTTAATCAAACTTTCATGGATGATTCATCTAAGAGTGTACACTACTGGACTTGCTTCGGTTGCTAGATTTGACCTACATTTTCCAGATGAGGGACCAGGTTAAAGTTTTTAGAGCAGTCTGTTTCTTAAAAAGCTATTTGCGGTACCTTGACCAATCTTGCCTAGTTGATACATCTAAGGATGCACACTACTGGACTTGCTTCGGATGCTGGATTTGACCTATATTTTCAAAATGAGTGATTAGGTTAATGTTTTCACCACAGGGCCATTACCAAGAAACTGTAAGGAATTTAATGATTCCAAGGTATGTTCTAAACCAGGGGCATATCTGCAGATTTGAAAGCATTACAGATTTTCGCCAGCCATGACGTAAATTCAATATTTCATTAATTTTTAGAGAAAATAGTGTATTTTGTCGATAGTTTGATCCAGCGCAGGACTGCCTCATCTCGATCTCTTGATATAATGTATGGAGTATAATATCAATCAAATATGTGAATAGTGATTTGGAACAAGCTTGCGTTCAGTAAATTCTGTACTCAAAATTGAGCAATTTTTTTTTCCATTTTGTCCTTGTTCTGAAAAATAATAGAAAATTCATATAACATGTATAATGCTGTGATGTTACAGAAAGAAGCATTGATGATAATCTGCTTCCAATCTGTATTAATTTTTGTCAATAAAGATTTTTCAAACAATATATCATACAATTGTGTACATTTCTAGAGTTGGCTTTTTTATAGGGGCAAAAATATGCTTTCACCATATATGGTTCTTTTTATTGATAGCTATAACATTAAAAGTATGTTTTACTTCTATTTTTCGTATTCCCTTCTACAGATTTGATTCTCATAGTGAATCAATACCCCAAAAATGTTCAATAACACTGATGATTCCATGTCTGTATTACACATGGGAGTAGGGGGGATTTAACCTTCTACCAAATTAATGAATAGAAGAATGAATCATTTTAGATCTATCCCAAACAAAAAAAGTATCATAGTAAACTATAGTTTACTATAGTTAACTATAGTTAACGGCAGTATCAAACTTTTCACTATAGTAAACCAAAGTTTTACTTTAGTTAATCAAAGTTTTCTTTAACGATGAACCCCGGATTGTTATTAACCCTACATGCTATTTTCATATATTAAAAGGAAATAGTGGTCTGTTCATATAATATTTCAAATATTTACATCATAGGTATGTAATTTAAGAGTTACGAGGACAAAAATAAATGATTTTGATGTTAAGTGCAGGAAAAGTATTAACAAACCTCTACATTAAGCATCTGTGTATTTTTGAAACACTTTTTATGTGTCTTTTCAGAGAGAAAACAATTATTACCATCTGGAAAACCTGTGGAATCTGGTAAGCAAGTATAACAATCTGTATCTAATAAAATATGAAATGAAACATAGAGGAAAGTAACAGTATTGCAATATACATGTATATCTTATTTAAAGATGCATAGAATTGAAGGGAATATTATTTAATATTTTAAGTTTATTGGAAAAATTTATATTTGAATTTCAAACTAAATAATTTAACCCCTGTTTAATGATGCTAGAGAGATTAAGAATAAAGGTTAAAATTAGATTTTAATTTTTTAGTTCATCTTAGCTAGAAAATTAGGTAAGCTCACTTGTTGACAGTCTGTAATCTACCAGTGTGTTTGTAAGTTTGTTAATTTTTCAAATTTTTAACACCTAAAATATTAAAAATCATTATAGCACAACATCATGAAAGCTTCCCTTTTATGCCATAGATTCAGAGGTAATCAAATCAAATTTGTGTTTGAGACAAGGCCACAATGTTTGTGTGTGTGTTTATGTGTGTGTGTATGTGTACTGAGGGAATACATTTTACCTAGGGATATAGAGCAAAGAATCTCTTTAAAAACCTTACATTTTAAGAACAAGTGGCCATTTAGTAAGCATAGAATGACAGAATTCTAAATTTGCTGTGCTGTTGATTCAAATCACCAAAGCCAGAGGCCTAATTTTATTAAAGTTTGTCTGGTGTTATCAAAAAGAACTTCAATAGGAAGGAATTTGAACTTATGTTCATGATGTATATTGCGCTGACATAATTTGTTGTCATGCCCTTCCTGTGTCCTTTCTCATCTTAACTTCAGACTTGGCAGTTAACCCAATTTATAAGAATTTTTATCAAACATCATACAAAGATTCATATTATTCGTATGTTCAAACAATACATATATATCATAGTTTTTCTTCACTTGTATTAGACTCTTCTTCATTTTGCATTTACCTTAGTTTTAAAAACAATTAAAACTGCGATAGCGCCCACTGTATTAATGGACTCGCTCTCGTATGTGACCGTAAAATTCCTCCAAATGCATTACCCTATACATTTTACTTGATTAAACGAACACCTGTCTAAGTGATCATCGACCGTGATTTTTGCAACTTTTTTTTTTAGTAATTTCAAGCACTTGTACCTTGATTCATTAACTATAAAATTTCCAATCCCTACTTTCGAATCCGATCATCTTTTTTTTTTTGGTTCAAACATCTATGAACATTAGTGTTGCCGTCGGATAATGTAAACACACGCTAAGCTAGCACCAACACCAGGTATAATTGCAATGATACAGTGATTGAAGTAACTGGTGATAAACACGCAATCAGAGTAATAACTAATCATTAAGGAAATATATAATTAGGGTAAATAAGTTTTTATTTGTTACCAAATGCATAATGAAAAACATGGTACGGTTTTAATTCGTCATACAGTGAAGAACATACGAAGTTACATGCATACAGGCTTCCATGTAAAACAAATTCTGTAATTTGAAAGACAATCTTTATAGGTATTTTATTATATAATAAAATATCTTAATACTTTCAAATCCATAATACTTTTAAAAAATCAAAATGACTCCTTTGCGGATCAAGCGCAAATTTTATTACCGAACATGACGAATGTACCCCAAAACACTTAAGTATTAATGTTGAGCAATACTTATATTATTTAAAAATGGAAATATATAGTGTATGATGTAAAATTAATACCAAATAAATGTGTAATATTTTCAGCATTGTATATTTGAACAGTGCGGTAAAAGCAACCTGTATTAAGAGACTACCTGTCATATGTGATCTTTTTTCCTTCTCGGTTGGAAGGTCTCTTAAATACAGGTTTGACTGTATTTTCATCAATCTGTATTGTCTTATGAAAATCCTAAGAAGCAGCTCAAAATTTCAAATGCTCAATAATTCTTGACCTAAACATTTCATATGATCTTAGACTTCACGTTTACGTCATTTTGCTCTTAGTTTGTCTAGTTGAATTCAATTAAAGATCGTAACTATTAACTGAATATGAAACAATAAGACTTCATAGAGCTGTAAAATAAGGGTTACATGTAAATGAACAGTGCACAACACACTACAAAATTTAATAATTTAAGAATAAGAGAGATTTCCTAAAGAGTTTGAAATCACATGTACAATGCATTATGCTATTTGTTTGGTATATGTTATTTAACCATACACCTGTTTGTCTTCGGGACAATAAAATGCATAATTTTCAGGATTTGTGTTTTGTTACTAAATTGTTAAAGGTCCATGATTGATTGATTGATTATATGATGTTTTACGTCCCGTTTGAGAATTTTTCACTCATATAAAGACGTCACCATATATCGGTGAAGGGCCTGTACTCGGCACTCAGGGCTATTAAGCATTGAGGGTTCTTTATTGTGCGAACGCCTACCGTGACACGGGACCAACCTTGGTTTTTAAGATTTTGTCCGATGGACCCGAAACTTCCACTTCAAGATGCCGAACACTTGGCGAAGGAACAGTTGCTACATATTTTTTTCGACTTAGATCAGTCCGCCCGTGATTCCAACAATTGACCTTCCGATCACGGAGCGAGCTCTCTACCGACTGAGCTACCGTGACTCACGGCACAGGTTCTATGAAGGATTCCTTTTGAAACTTTTTTTTTAAATGAATAACCTCCCATTGAAGCTGTGGATTTCTAGTAAGGAAACAATTGAATATTTATTTAGCGTACAACCCAATATAAAGATCCCCAGCTCAGTCATGGGGATTAATGAAAAAATGTAACTCTTTTTTAGATCAACTAAATCACCATTCAAAAAATGTACATTAAGTTTAGGTTTACCTCCAAGTATGATTTTAAAGAGACTGAAATGTGTAACCTGCAGTATTTTTATTTTCAATGTGCCAAAAAATTGCCAGGTTGGTGAGTTTCTATTTTGAAATTCTTTTCAGAAATTGCAAGAAAAACGATACAATCTGTGGAGGATGGAGAACATCCAGGTGATAATGGAAGTTTACACTTGATTAACAAATGTTAAATGCTATTTGTGTGGAGTTCTCTGTGTGTGTTTGTGTGTGTACTGTACAACAGTGAAACCTGTCTAATCATACGTACTGGGGGACATTTTTTTTTTGTCAGAATAGACAATGTAAAGAACATAAAAAGCAGTAAAATTGGAATTTAAATAAAGCTTGGAATTCATAATAGAATAGATTGCACAGGTGTCGGATTAGAAAGTTTTCACTGTAAGGAAAGGAAGGAGATGGTCACTTGTGAGTTATGTTTCTTGCATTACCAAGTTCCGCGAACTCGCACCAGATCAAGTACAAAATGTTTGTGAATTAGGAAAATGGAAACAAGTATATGTCACGGCGTACGAGCTCTGTTATTGTTAATGTTTACGTTTCATCGGGGGTGTTCAATTTGTAGAACTCTGCACACATCAATGAGCATGGACTGACAATACTGGAAAGTTGGGTTTGCTTTCTCACATGTCTACTCTGAATGTTCTGTTTTACTCTGAATTAAAGTTTTAATATTTTTCATTAATACACAAAAAATTTCTAATTTTCATAAGTATTAAAGATAAAGTTTACTTTGTGAAAATTTAGGGGCGTGTCAATCAAACGCGTCCCGAAATTCGTTGTTTCAATAATTTCCAGATAAAATAAGTTTTTTATTATATTTTTGAGGGATGCTCACTCCTCCATGGCACCTGATCCCACCTCTGATGTTTGGAGGTCCGTGTTTGCTCCGCTCCTATTTTGTATTGTTTAATGGACTTTTGAGCTTGAATACTGTTCGTTATCTCCATATATTTCATTTCCGTGCTGAATGCTATTGCAACATACAAGTCATGATATTATACAGAAAATATAAGAAAATATTAACTTCAAATGTGTGACCAGGCCCCTTTCATGTATGGTCATGTCATTACAAATGATTTCCACTTTAAGTATACAATTTACAAAAGGCTCAAACAAAATTGCCAAATGTTTTTTTTTTCTGCTGACCATCAATAGGAAAAAAAATCAGCAAAATAATACCTAAAATTATTATAGGACGTTTAATATTACGGTTTAAATTTAAAGTTTGTCTTGACAACTAAAACACTTGGTTGTTCTAGCTTTATGCGTTTGATATCAGGAATGTTTGTGAAGTAAATGTACTAGCTTTCTTCTTTGAATTCTTTTCTTTTTTTCAGAATGGTTACTTGTATTCTGAAAAAAATCGTGTACACCAAAATATCAGTGCCATATTATATGTATATGTCTTGCTGTATGTCTGCTCATATATGCCTTATACATTTTATATATTTTGCACAGTATATGTGCCTTACACTAACACCAGTCCTATTCTCCTTATCTGTGGTTACTCAATACTTTTTATGTTAACCCGTTTCTAATAAAATATTACCTTGCGAAGATATCTTAAATATTACTGAAATTCAACACTTTGTCTAAGTTATTATTAAGTATCCTTTAATACATATTTTAGATAATGAAATTGAATGCCTCAGTTACTTAAGAGGATGCTATGTTGAAATTGTAGGAGAAACTAATGAGAAAGTGCTAGTGCATACATCAGAGAAAACATGATCAAATACAGATATTACAACTGTATCAATTTTTTTTCAACTGATTTTTACATTATCCTGGATGGCGACAGTTTATTTTTTGTGTGTGTGTTTAGGTCACATGAGCCTGACCTTGAAGCGACAGAAATGATATAACTTTAAGATAACTTTATATAAAAAATTGCCAATTTCAAGTATTTACAAGTGTAAGAAAAAGAGGTAAAAAGGGGATTTCTTTGCAAACATGATAATTTGTACAAAGTTGTCATTTATCATGTATCTTTACTTCACTCTAGGAAATAATTAATTGTTAAGAGAAATATTTGAGGAGAGTGAGGAAGCACATAGCATGCATATGTAGAATCAATGTCAGATGATTTGTTTTTACTTTTGCAGGAGGAAGACTGTCACAGGTAGATGAGCAGCCTAATGACTGCTAGAAGGAATTACAGAGTATCGGTCAACACAAATCAATACTGATGATGATCAAAAACTGGAGATGACAACAAGCGAGATCTATGAAAATTCACCACACTTTTCCAATGACTCCAGTGCTTTGATACAGAAATATATTTAAGATCTACAAGTTTCTCTCAAAAGATACTTTAAATAAGAAGATGTGATTTTGTCACCAGAATAAGCATCAATGCAAGGTTGTACAACTTAAAGACAAACCAGTCTGACTGATATTTATTATTCATGAATTTTGCAATGATTACACATTTACGTTTTTTGTTGCTAACTTGTAGGAACATGATACAATTTTGAAAGATCTATGCTTTATATGTATATTTATAATGCGTATTTAAGCCTGTGTATAAACAGGTTCGTCACATGACTATAAATTCATTAAGTCATAAACGATCGACGTAAATTCATCGTGATGTCATAAGTGGTCAACATGTTTAACACATTCAATCATTCAATTTAAACTGTTGAGGTTTGAAAAAAAAATTGTTCATTGGATTAAAAGTATAGCACCCATTTATTTATAAATCAGACACAAATCGTTTCTAAACTTTTATTGGGATGTAAATACAGTTTTGTCACATAATCAGATGGATATAAAAGCCCCGTGACAAAGCTGTATTTACATCACAATAAAAGTTTTAAAATGATACCTTATTTCTTAAAAACATGTAATATGGCGTTTTTTGTAGGCAAATGATAAAATTTTGGTAAACTGTTAATGTTATAACGCTAGGTTTATCTATGATTGTGGAAATTTTTTTTACAGGGAATAATACATTTTTGATAAGTTATGATGTTAAAACGTTAGGTTGATCTATGGTTGTGCACATTTTTTGTAGGGAATAATACATTTTTGATTAGTTATGATGTTAAAACGTTGTTTTTTTATGGTTGTGTACATTTTTTTGTAGGGAATAATATATTTGTGATAAGTTGTGATGTTAAAACATTAGTTTTATCTATGGTTTTGTACATTTGTTAGGGCCCTGCTCTGCGGGCGCCCTATAGTGATCAGTCTGTCCGTCCGTTCTTCCGTCCGTCTGTCCGTCCGAGATCTCTTGTCTGGAGCATATCTTCTCTCTCCTTGGCCCAATCTGGCTCATACTTCACCCACAGAGTGTCTTTGGGTAAAGGGTGTGCAGTGACCTTGAACCATGTTTATAGGTCTAAGGTTAAGGTCATAGTAGTTATATGAAAAATCCTTGTCCAGAGCATATCTTCTCTCCCCTTGGTCCAGTGTGGCCCATACTTCACTCACAGAGTGCCACTGGTCAATGGATGTGCAGTGAACTTGAACGAAGTTTCTAGGTCAAGGGTCAAGGTCAAAAATAGTCTCTCTGTTTAAAATCTTTGTTCGGTGCATAATTTCTTTCCCTTATGTCCAGTCAGCCTCAAACTTTACCAATTGATTTAGGGTATATAACATTTGTGATTTTCCTTCCATTTTTTGATGAGTATATGCAACAATTTTCATAGAGGATATGCAACATTCGTGGTTTTAATGCCGTTTTTTGATAAAGGGTATGGAGCACTCGTGATTTTCGTGCCATTTTTTATTATAACAAGGATGACAAAGAAGCCCTTTAGACTCAAACAGCACATCCCTTAATAGTACACAAATGTTCCTCTTCAAAATAAACCCATTTTCATGTTCGTTGCTGAAAGCGGGGCCCCTTTGAGATGGCTACCATCTCAATGATATCTAGTTGTAGGGAATATTCCATTTTTCATAAGTTGTGATGTTTAAAGTTTATTTATGGTTGTGTACATTTTTTGTAGGGAATAATGCATTTTTGATAAGCTATTGATGTTGTAAAGTTAATCTACTCTTCTAAATATACTTGTACATCTAACAAATTGTAGGGAAATAATACAATTTTAATAAGTTATACATACAATTTTAATTCATGCTTCTAAATACATGAGTGTATGTAACATGGCAGATTTGTACGCAAATCATTAAATTTTAAAAAAAAATCGTTTGATGTTGTGAAGTTTGAATAATGTTTTTGCTTTGAATATACATGTAAGTATGAAAACAAATAAAGGAAGAAACGACAATTGTAATTGTTGATGCATACCAATTTATTTTTCAAACACGTACTTAATGACTTTGGAAAACACTTCAAAATATTTAGTAATACTTCAAATGTGATAAAAACGTATTCAACAAAAAAATTACGACAAATATGCGCAGTATTTACATTGTAAGAGTTTTGTTTCCTCCAAACTTAATTGCAAATAACTTTTCTATTGGTTCCTCGTGACTGTCTGGATTTAGCATAATTTTTGACCTTTTGACTTCTCTAGAACCACTTTATATGCATGTACATGTATGTATAAGGTTTACACGGGTGTTACTAAAATGAAATAAAAATTGAAAGAGGACTATCTTCAAAACGTTATTTTAAGTGACTGTGACAACACTATTTATAGAAGTCTGAAAAAAGTAGTGATTATATTATTATTTTTATACCCCCGCAAACAAAGTCCGTCTGTCTAGACATGATTTTTTCCGGACCTGTTCTTGGAGGCTATTACATGGAATTATTTGAAGTTTTTTTCAGACGCATTAGACACCATATAAAGATGTGCACCTGGTATTTTCACCATGATTGAACAATTTTTCATTTTACGTTTTTTTTTTTTTTTTCATTTTTTTTTTTTTACTTAAGTCATTTTGTGTCCTGTAGTTTTGTGTCATGTAGTTCTGCAGCATAATTGAATATTTATCAGAAATATAATGAGCAATTACATTTTGACTCTCAAAAATTGTGAACACCTCTTACATGTAGATCCATAAAATACTTTTAGAGACTTGGTACCCCTTCAAAAGAAATCGAACTTAAAAAAAATATTTATTAAAATTTTTAAACAAAAACATCCCCTCTTTCTCTCATTTTTTGCATGTACATTACAGGCAAACTGTTTCTAATTATGCTTACTTTAAATAACCAAACTACTGCGTTTGTTTTAACAAGGCACAGTAGACTAATTGTAAACTGCACTGTTTCTGTACCAGAAAATTCTACAAATGTTCCAGTCAGACGTTGAAAGCCTTCCAGTGTAATTGATCTCCTCACCCTCATATAGAAGCTATATAGTGTGGATCTTTTAGTCATGCGTGCTCAATTTTTTGTTTACACCCACGACAGACGAAATAGAACTGATACAAATAGTACCGACACTACTTCAATTATCACAGATCAAACACGATGTATGAGAATGTCGATATTAATTTCCCCTCAACCTAGGGTTAAAGAATCAATTTTCACCATTTTTGTTTGTTGTTTAACGTCCCTCTCGAGCATTTTTCACTCATATGGAGACGCCACCACTTGCCGGTGGAGAGCTGCAAATTTTGACCTATGCATGCTCGAGACTCGGGGCCATTGAGCAGTGAGGGATCTTTTTCGTTCCAGCACCTACTGCGACACGGGACCACGATTTATAAGGTCTCATCCGAAGGACTGGTCCTCACATCCCACAGTGAGGTACGAACCCACGACCTAAGGAACAACTCTTTATTTCGCGACTCTAGAGCAGACGCTTTTACCACTGCGCCACGCGGGCGACTCCATTTTTCTTAACTGTATGTAGGTTTCTTGATGAGTATTTGTTTTTTAATAGTAAAATAGCTGTTTAAAAACCCTAAAAGCTGTGTTTTTTCCGTTGTTAGCTCACCTGAGCCGAAGGCTCAAGTGAGCTTTTCTGATCACATTTTGTCCGTCGTCCGTCCGTCCGTCTGTCCGTCTGTCTGTCCGTCTGTCTGTCTGTCTGTCCGTCCGTCTGTAAACTTTTCACATTTTTGACTTCTTCTCAAGAACCACTGGGCCAATTTTGACCAAACTTGGAACAAAGCATCCTTGGGTGAAGGGGAATTTAAACTGTTAAAATGAAGGGTCAAGTCCCCTCACAAGGGGAGATAATCAAGAGAAGACAAAAATAGGGTGGGGTCATTAAAAAATCTTCTTCTCAAGAACCACAGGGCCAGTAAAGCTGAAACTTATGTGGAAGCATCCTGGGGTAGTGTAGATTCTAAATTATTCAAATCATGACCCCCGGGGGTAGAGCGGGGCCACAATGTGGAATCAATGTTTTACATAGAAATATATAGGAAAAATCTTTAAAAATCTTCTTCTCAAGAACCACTGGGCCAAAAAAGCTGAAACTTATGTGGAAGCATCCTGGGATAGTGTAGATTTTAAATTGTTAAAATCATGACCCCCGGTGGTAGGGCGGGGCCACAATAGGGAATCCATGTTTTACATTGAAATATATAGGAAAAATCTTTAAAAATCTTCTTCTCAAGAACCACTGAGCCAAAAAAGCTGAAACTTATGTGGAAGCATCCTCGGATAGTGTAGATTTTAAATTGTTAAAATCATGACCCCTGGGGGTAGGGAGGGGCCACAATAGGGAATCCAAGTTTTACATTGAAATATATAGGAAAAATCTTTAAAAATCTTCTTCTCAAGAACCACTGGGCCAAAAAACCTGAAATTTATGTGGAAGCATCCTGGGATAGTGTAGATTTTAAATTTTAAAATCATGACCCCCGGTGGTAGGGCGGGGCCACAATAGGGAATCCAAGTTTTACATTGAAATATGTAAGAAAAATCTTGAAAAATCTTCTTCTCAAGAACAACTGGGCCAGAAAAACTGAAAATTATGTGGAAGCATCCTGGGGTAGTGTAGATACTAAATTGTAAAAATCATGACCCCTGGGGGTAGGGCGGGGCCACAATAGGGAATCCAATTTTACATTGAAATATGTAAGAAAAATCTTCTTCTCAAGAACAACTGGGCCAGAAAAAACTGAAAATTATGTGGAAGCATCATGGGATAGTGTAGATTTTTAATTGTTAAAATCATGACCCCAAGGGGTAGGGCGGGGCCACAATAAGTATTAGAAGGGGGGAAATCTGGTAAAGAACAGCATGGCCAAAGTTACTCAGGTGAGCGATGTGGCCCATGGGCCTCTTGTTTTTATTATTATTATTATTATTATTATTTTGTGCAAATACAGCACATCATGTTGGTAAATTTAGTAGAAAGGTTCCAATTAACCCGATGAAAATTATATTTTCTGCCGAATATACTGAATTTTTAAACTCTACTGGTCAGAGACAAGAAGAGCTTATGCGATAGTAAGGTGTCCGTGGGCTGTGTAGATGTCTAGCTGTCTGTCTAGCTGTCCGTCTGTCTGCAAGCAATTTTTCAAAATGCTACTCCTCCTACAGTTTTGGTCTGATTTCAATATAACTTGGCACACAAGTAGAGTAATACTAAGATACATATCTTAATGCACCGGTTTTTGATTTTGTTGTACGGTATGGCCATTGTTACTAAAAATAGAAATTTCGGTGAAATTCCTCTAAAACGCTACTCCTCCTACAGTTTTGGTTTGATTTCAATGTAAATTGGCACACAAATAAATAACACTAAGATACATTTTTAAATGTATCGGTTTTTAATTTTGCTAAACGGTTGTTGCCATGGTTATTAAAAATAGAAATTTCTGTGAAATTTCTTTTAAAATTCTACTCCTCCTATAGTTTTGGTCTGATTTCAAAAGTACTTGGCACATATTAAGTAGACTACACAGAGATTCATAATTCTGTTTATCGGTTTTTGATTTTGGTGAAGTGTTTTCATGGTTACTAAAATATAAATTTCTGTGAAATACATTCCTAATGCTGCTCCTTCTATAGTTTTGCTTTAATTTCAATGTAACTTGGCACGCAAATAGACTACACTGAGACACATAATGTCTTTATCATTTTTTTTATTTTGATGAATGATCTTGCCATGGTTACTAAAATCAAAATTTCTTTAAAATCTTTTAAAAGGTTTCTCTACCTACAGGTTTAGTCTGATTGCAATAAGTCTTGCCACAAAAGAGACTAAACCAAGGATAATTATTCTATTATTTGCTATTGCAATTTTTATATATCTATTTTTTTTGTGAATTTCTTTTGTCAAAAATTGAAATTTATTGTAATTGGAAAATTCATTATACCTCAAAAATTGTAATCAACATACAGGAATATAATGATCTTCTCATTTTTTTTTCAATAACAGCAAAAATATGATTAGTCATATTGACATGGAAGCATCCGTAGGGATGTAGATTAAATTTTGTTCAACTTTTGATCCCCAGGGGTAGGATGGGAACACAATGGACGATGAAAGTTTTAATAGGAGTATATGTTAAAAATGAAAAACAACAGGGCCAAAGCGACCCATGCAGGTGATAGTTGTGGCCCTTGGGCCTCTTGTATTGAGTGTCATGGTATTGGCGTCTTGTACTAAGTGTCACAGTATGGTTTCATGAGAAAACTCAGTATGATTTTTATCAAACACTTGATTATTAAAATTTTTTTCTTTGGTTGTTAGTACGGGAATTGATGTTGCAGCTGTTACAGAAAAAAAAAATAACACGCGTAAGCAACGTTAATTCCCATACTACACTGTAACAAAGATGTTTATATTTATATCTGTATAAATAACCAATTAGAGTAAAATTAAGTACATTAAATATTCTATTATTGATATGTATGTCATTATATGTTATTTGATGGAAGAACCGCTGCTCAACAGATCTGTAAAGGTGGCTTGCTTAATGGCGTTTATGATTGAAAAACGACCGTGTTTTTCAAAAGAAATATAGGAGATAATATTAGGTGGAAGTAAATATAAGGCTATAAATCAAAGACCGGGTCAAAAGTATTCGTTAAAAAATGGCGGCCTAATTTTCACTGCCGTGGTTCGATTCTTATTTCAGCGTCGTTCTTAATGCACAAATTAGAGTTATCCCTCTTACTACGTACATGTACAAATATACAAAAGCACATGACAGGTCACATGGCTTTGTTATGACTTATTTCGTCTGCAAAGGTTTTGTTCCCGCTATCAAAACAAATGGGCAGGAAAGGATCTGAACTTTGTGAGTCCGAAAAGAAAGCATTCTATCGTTGTCTAAAGCTAATATAAAGTTAAAGGAAATATCAGAGATAACCGAAGGCCCATATCTACTATAT